ACAGCCACACCAGCGGTCTGGCGACGAGCTCCATCAGACGGAGAGTGAGCGTGTACTCGACGGCGATGGCTGGAGAGGCCACTACGCAGCCGCTGAAGTGATGTTTCCCCGATAGAATCGTGTTAAGAGCCACCAGAGCTCCGAACGAGATGCTGATGATGACTAATGGGGGGTCAGAAGCTCCTTCCGGTAGCATCTTGCTGTATACAGCGAGCTTAGCGGCCGTGACGAACTGGTTCGTGTCGTCCACGAAGTACTGGAACTCGGAGCCGTGTGCGCGTAGCCCGGGCTTCTCACTTTCACTCTGGCCGTGACCCAGCATGTCATACGCAATCACTCCGTAGCCATTGAGGCACAAGTGTCGGTACACGTGCGTGAAGCGCAGCGAGTGCTCTCCCATACCGTGCAGGAGGGCGCCACGCCACGGAGAGGCACCGATTCGGGGGGGAAGGCGGCGCAGTAGAAAAGCTTCTGACCACGCGCGTTGAGGAAGTGGCCATCTGTGTAGCGCTGGTCTTGTAGACACGAAGCTTGGGCTGGCAGCGAAGAAGCCATGAGATGATGGACGGAGGCGATTCCGAGGAGCTTTAATAAAAACGGTTTGGAAGTGAGTCAAAGTGACAAGTTTAGAAAAAAAACAGCCTGTGAGAAATAGTATCCATTAATAGCTCCAGCTCTTCATTCAATGATACATTACATAGTAGAAATGAACCATTGCTAGCTGACAACTTATACACTGGTATCCTTCATACATGTAACCTACTGAGTCACGCTGGACCACAAAACTTCAACGAACGTCACGTGCGCTCTATTTTCCTGTCCGTGAATGTCAAATCTACCTATATCCATCCCAATAAATCATGGAGCGAAGCAGGAAACACACACAACTCTGTGGGTGTGTTTACATGAGGAACCCCAGCGCGTAGTCCTGGTAGAAGGTCTGCACGGCCTCCTCGTTGCGGTTCGCCTCGGCCAGCAGCGCCATGAAGTCGACGCTTTCCGCGGCCAGCAGCTCCTGCACCTTCGCTTCGTCCTCGCACGACACCACAGCCGCCAGCGTCGCTCCGATGAGCTTGGCGGCCTTGCCGTTGTAGCGCAGATGCTCCGTCATCGTCACAAGCTGCGGGATCGTGATGCTGCCCGCCACCACCGACGGCGCCACCATCTCGCTCAAGTACGGGAGCGTCTTGGGGATGTCGATCTCGATGTCCTCGGCGAACTCGAGCACGTCCTGCAGCGCGCTCTCCAGAGCTGCACTCGTCACCACCTTGCGGTCATACAGACCAGCCAGGAAGCTCGCAATGGCCTCGCGCTCCTTGTCGCCCTTTTCTAGACCAATATTCAGCACCTTGTTGGGGATCAGAGCGTAGTGGCTCGACGCGTTGAGCTCCGTGAAGCTCGCGTGCGCCTCCTCCAAATCCTCCAGCTCCACATACTCGTCCAGAATAGGCTTTCACCTTCTTCTCGAACGCCTCAGCCGTCAGTGTCGGGGCTGCAGTCTCCGTCTCCGCAGTTTTCTCAGGCTTGTCAGAGCGGTCATTGCTCGACTTGGTGGATGAGGGCGTCGGTGGACGTCCAGCGTCTTCCCG